AAGCCACTCACCTCAGCCTCCCAAAGGCGCGGGATTACAGGCTGAGCCCCCAGCCCGACTCCTCTTTACTTTTTTAACAATGTAGAAAAGACCGTTTTGAGAGCTGCTGTCTCTCACCCCTCTCCCCACACCCCAGCTTCGAGGCCAGGAGAAATGGTCTACGCTCTTACCTGTCCAGAAAGGGCTGCTGGCCAGTCTGTGTTCTATAAGAGAATTGTGAGGGTTACATGCTCCACCTTCCTTTTTTTTGAGCTGGAGTCTCTCACTCTGTCGCCCAGGCTGGAGTACAGTGGCACACTGCTCACAGCCACCGCAGCCTCGACCTGCTGGGCTCCAGTGATCCTTCCGCCTCAGCCTTCCAGGACTACGGGCATACACCACTACACCCAGCTAATTTTTTGTTTACTGTAGAGGTGAGGTCTTGCCAAGTTGCCCAGACTGGTCTCGAACCCGTGGACTCAGGCAATCCTTTCACCTGGGTCTCCCAAAGTGCTGGGATTATAGGCGTGAGCCACCACGCCCAGCCATACTCAGCCTTCCTTACAGAAGAAACAAGCAATATGCATGCTCCATCTAGCCCCTAAAATCAGCTTCCTAATTCAGCTTTCTCAAACATCTTCCTATAGTACCTGTAATTGCCAGTGAAAGGGATTTCATGCTTTAGATGTCTCAGATGACAGTTTCACAAAAGTTTCAAAATTTCCTTTTCTCTTTTAAAAGTGTATTCAAATTTTACATTCTATTCCACAATATACTTGTTTTAATATAAAAAATATTTTAAATGTTTTGCCATCAGAAAAGTTCAAAGCTTTCCCCTCCTAGTGACTTCATACAATTAACACTTCTGTGTACATTATAACATGTATAACTTCCAGGGCCATGCACGCTAAGTATGCCAGCTTTGAAGCACAGCCCTGGCTTAGTATTTCTTCCTGCAGGTTAACATCATGACTTTGGCTCTGACTTTGCTTATACCAGGAGAGTGAAGATTCCTATAGTGCAGGCCTTTTATAGTATTTCTGTCCTCTTGTTATAATTTCTGTGAAAATTGGTAAAATTGCAAGAAAAGACACTGTAACCTTCTCATTTATAATCTCTTTGTAGGAGGAGAGGGCAGTGAGAGACAGGAATCTCCTCCAGGTTCAAGACCATGATCAGCCCATTCCGTGGAAAGTGCAGTTCAACTTGGGCAATAGCAGTCGGCCAAGCAATCAGTGCCGTAACTCCATTCAGGGGAAGCACCTCATCACGGATGAGCTAGGTAAGACCCCTTCCTTCCTCCTGGCCGTCAGGAGATGAGACACTGGCAGGGCCATTCATAGGGTTTTTATTGTGATAGGGATTCTGCGACAGTGCATTTTCCCTGGCTCATTTCCAGCGTTTCTCACATCTCTTTTGTACTTTGTACCCTACTCATCACTCAGGATTGCCTTCAACATCAGAGAAGCTTGGTATGATAACTCTTTCCTCTTCTAAGTTCCTGGTGCCTGCAACTTATGGTGTTAGCATTATGTCATGCATTAGTCCCTAGGCCACCAGTCAGAATTTTCTGATTTTGCTAGTCTTTTTTTCTCATCTTGATGGTGAACTCTATAGGATAAGAGCTCAGTTTCCCTCCTTGGTAATCTGAGTGAAATCCACATAGTGTTGACACTCAGGAAATGTGCTTGTTGTCTGACTGACCAGATAACTTCACATGAATTATAAACACATTCAAAATGTGTTACTTTTACAGGGAGAACACAAGTCTGTTTGATAAGGTTTTCTGACTTCCTTTGAAGTTGTCAGAAAGGAGATCCCTGCCCGGGTGAGACAGTTAACCTAGACGACTGCTAGAGCTTGTACACTTGAAGCTGCTCAGTCTTCCCCAAGAGACTCCTGCTAACGCATAGCCTACACTCACTGAGCTCTTGCTATGTGCTGGGGACTGGGCTAAAGGCATTCCTGAAGTATCTCATCTGAGTTTTGCAACAGTCCTATGAATTAGATACCACTGTCCTCATTTTAGAGGTGAAGACTTAGGCTCCAAGGGGTTAAGGAACTGGCTGCAATGTTGCCAAAGATGTTATAAGCCATAAACACAGCACTGTCATCATGTCAAAAAAAAGTAACAAGTAACAATGTCTCCTTAATATCGAATATCCAGACAATATTCAAAGTTCCTTGATTGGTTTTCTTTTTCTTTTTTATTGAGTTGGAGTCTCACTCTGTCACCCAGACTGGAGTGCAGTGGCTGCTCCCGGCCACCGCAGCCTCGACCTGCTGGGCTCTGGAGATCCTTCCAGGTCATCCTTCCAAGTAGCTGGAATTAGAGGCGTGCACTACCATGCCCAGCTCATTTTGATTTATTGTAGAGATGAGGTCTCGCCAAGTTGCCCAGGCGGGTCTCAAACCCACCGGCTCAGGCAATCCACTCACTTCAGCCTCCCAAAGGCGCAGGATTACAGGCTGAGCCACCGAGCCAGGCGGTTTTTCTTTTTCAACTAGTGGTTTGCAAATGACATGGTTTTGGGTTTGTCCGTTTGCAAGAGTAAATTTTACCCTATTTCAGCAAGTCTCAAAACATGAGACAGAGTGAGACTCCAACTCAAGGAGAAAAAAAAAAACTCGTAAGAATTTATACCTTTTAGCAAGCAGATGCCACCTAGAATATTGCCAGGGTAACACATTAGTTAAGACTACTTGTTACAATTACAAACTTTTCTTTTTTTTCTCACTCAGTCGCCCAGACTGGAGTGCAGTGGCCGCTCCCAGCCACCGCAGCCTCGACCTGCTGGGCTCTGGCGATCCTTCCGCCTCAGCCTTCCAAGTAGCTGGAACTACGGGCGCGCACTACCACGCCCAGCTAATTTTTGATTTATTGTAGAGATGAGGTCTCGCCAAGTTGCCCAGGTGGGTCTCGAACCCGCAGGCTCAGGCAATCCACTCACCAGCCTCCCAAAATACAGGATTACAGGCTGAGCCACCAAGCCCGGCCAATTACAAGCTTTTCAAAGGTTAGAAGTTAGTTTTCCAGGCAATAGAACACATTTTAAGGTTGTGATCTTATAGAACTCCTTGTTGGAGAAAACATTCAAATGAGAAGATTTTATGATGCAAAATGAGAGATCTTTTTTTTTGAGTTGGAGTCTCACTCTGTTGCCCAGATTGGAGTGCAGTGGCCACTCCCGGCCACTCTGTTGCCCAGACTGGAGTGCAGTGGCCACTCCAAGCCACCGCAGCCTCGCCCTACTGGGCTCCTGCGATCCTTCCGCCTCAGCCTTCCAAGTAGTGGAATTACCATGCGCTACCACGCCCGGCTGATTTTTTGATTTATTGTAGAGATGAGGTCTCGCTGCCCCAGGCAGGTCTCGAACCCGCGGGCTCAGGCAATCCACTCACCTCAGCCTCCCAAAGGCGCAGGATTACAGGTTGAGCCACCGAGCCCAAAATGAGAGATCTTGATGAGCTTGCTCTCACTAGGAGTTAGAAAGACTGGAAGTTGGCACTAGGGAAGAAAAGAGGTCCCGAGGTGCTGACACTTTCAACATGAAAAAGAAAAGGACAGAAAGATGATTTCAACAAGTGGAGCTTAGGTCACTTAGTGTTTTACACCTCTGTGCCTTTTTGAGGTGATAGAGTTGCTGTGTATTTACCATTTTGAGCAGAATTCTGAGACAAATACTGACTTATTTGGATTTTTTTGTTTGTTGACAATCCCTGTAAAGAAATTGAGTAGGAATAGTTAGGAAGAATCCCAGGAAACATTTACTAAGACATTCGACTCATCTTCTCTTGAGGAGAACACAGTTCAGCAGAGTCGCCGGGTCCCAGGCATCTGGGCTCTGTCTTACCCAGGCCTCAGTTGCCCAAGTCTTTGGCGAGTCTTTTTGTTTCTTTGTCATCATTATTTGGTTCCCGCCTGCTTTTGCAGAGACTTTGTTTTCTAAAGTGGTTTCTTGTTCTCTGAGGATTGGGGGGAGGCTGAGCGTTTGGAGCAGAGCAGTGCTGGGCGCAGCTGCTCCTCACCTGGGACCAGAACACACCTGGAAATTCGCTGGGCACCTGCAGTCTCCCAAGGGCTGAATGGTGGACCTCAGGGGCTTATCCTCACATTTCTCTGTTCCACTCCCTGAAGGATGTAGAGAAATGTCTGCTTGGCAGTTCTAAACAGTAGCTGAGCTTTAGTAAGGAGAGTCTTTCCTAAGCTGGGCGTGAGTTGACTGCCTGGAAGGGGTATGTTGTAAATGGGGGATTGTGAGAAGGTAGGGCACAAGTATCCGAGAACCACAGTGCTGAAGGCAAAGGGTGACTGAGTCCCTGGCACGGACATGTACAGGCAGCCTCTGTTTATAAAGGTTGGGTGAGACTTGCTGTTTTTTGCATCCTCTAAATTACAAAATAAGTGGCAAGCATTTAAAAGATATATCTGTGAAGAGTGGTTTGTTAAATCTAGAAGGATCTTACTTTTGTGAATGAATGACTTGGTTTTTCCTGTTTTCCGACTTTTGTTCATTTTTCTTCAGGCACAGGTGGAAGATTGACTTGCATAGATAGGTTAGACTAGGAAAACGTCAGCGTGGCTCGGCAGTGATAAAACCAAGCATTGCTGGCAGGTGACTGGTGGTTGTGTGTCAGTTATGCTGTGTAGCCTGGTTATGACACGAATCCCTGTTTCCTGTAAACTACTGGTGGAAGAAGCCGGCCCTGATCACATTATGTCCACTCCAGGCTCTTTAAGGCTTAGGGTGCCCCAGATCCAGACTCTCTCCGTGCTCTTCATGTGCAGTGCGCTCATTGCCACTTCGTGGTAGGTGCAGGGACTGCTGACCTTGTGCTAATGTTAGTCTCTGACTTTCAGGATATGTTTGCGAGAGAAAGGATTTGCTGGTGAATGGCTGCTGTAACGTCAACGTCCCTAGCACAAAGCAGTACTGCTGCGACGACTGCTGGCCCAATGGCTGCTGCAGCGCCTACGAGCATTGTGTCTCCTGCTGCCTGCAGCCCAACAAGGTATGGAGACCTGCTCCTCTCTGCATCTGCCTTTTTTTTTTTGATCCGTGAGGCTCTTTCGAAAATAGAACTCAGAAAAGAACTCGGTAGCTGTCAGAAATTGCTGCTGCACAATAGCCTTTGTCTACAAGGAAAGGAGGTGGTTCACAGTTGCTTGAGTGGTTCTTTTGCAAAGTGGACCATTGTATTGCTAATCAGATAATCTGATGAATAAGATACTGCGCACCCGCATGTGTGTGTGTTGCGTCTGCATGCACAGGCTCCCCCTTCCCACTCGCTCTTTCCCTCTCCCCTCCCCCATATCGCATTCTCCTAGTTTAGGAGAGCTGGCCAAGGTCACCTTGTACTGGCTTAGGTAATTTATTACAGGCATAACTTTTGTTTCCATAGCAACTTCTCCTGGAGCGCTTCCTTAGCCGGGCAGCTGTGGCATTCCAGAACCTCTTCATGGCAGTGGAAGATCACTTTGAGTTGTGCCTGGCCAAATGCAGGACCTCTTCTCAGGTCAGAAGCTATGATGTCTCTCGCAGAGGATGGTGGCTGAGCAGTCAGGGGCTAGAAGAAAACTAGAAATTAGACCAGGTCCTCACGGAAGGACGACAGTGGAGGAGAGACTCACATGAAGCCCTGCCATGCTTCAGTGTAATGATGGTATTTGGAATGTCAACATGAGATTTACACAAGTCAGGGGAAGTACAGCGTTTATATTACATCAAGTTCTAATCATCTTGCATCTCTCCTATCTGCTTGGCACATTTGCACTTGATATCATGTATAAGTCTGGGTGGGTCCTAATACTCCAGTTCCTACGAGACACCCTCCTCCCTGTCTTTGAAGTTTGACTAAGGCTTTCCAGTAACCACTTGTTTAGAGTAAGTAGCAATTTGTTCTGGGATGGAGTTGTGGTTTATTTTAGGATTCAAGAGGATGGGGCAGATGAATGTTTAAAAATCCATGAATAAATCTGGAGGTTGCCAGGCCCTCAGTACATATTAGCACACTGTTATTCAATGCTTTACTGTCTGGGTATTAAATATTATTGCACCTGCTGCTGAAAGCGTCTGAAAGTCTGAGGCCCTTTCACGACTATCCTCGGCTCTCAGCTACGGTGATCGGGCAGTTGTAGCTCTTTGTAAACTCACCAGATGTGTTTATTATACAAGCACATGTCTTCTGGCTTCTATTCATAGTGTCTCCAAGATTGTACTGGCTCCGTCTGCGATAATGAACCCATTTGTCATTCTCTGGAGCGCCTGGACCCTTTGCTGGATTTCTGTAGTCCACCTTTTGATTTTATGCCCCCTTTTTATGTCTCTGGCTTGTCCCGAGAGCATTCAGTATCACTGGGTAAATGTTTCAGGGATTATAACGAGCATTTGAAAACATTAAGAAATTCCTGATGGTCTTGTTTTGCTCGAAGAGCTTTCCACTTGAATGGGCTTTAAAGGAAATAGCGAGGAAGGCTGAACGCAGGACTCATTTTGATTCAGATTCATTCTCATTCTGAGAAGTGCTAGAAGGCGAGGCATTTTCTTCTTTTAACTGGTAAAACTCCCAAATTATTTTCAATCTTCAGTGAGACTGTGCTCCTTTCTGACTTGGTCTTTTTATTGTAAAAAGAGGTTTCCCAATTGTCATTTAATTTGTTTTGGTAATGGTATCCCAAGAAAGAGACGATTTGGCTGTACATCTATTAAATTGGACTAATACTTACAGTTTAGTTGTATAGCATTAGTCTTGGGCTAATTAATGAATTCTAGACTAGCCAAGAGCCCAAGTTGCTTGTATGAAAACAAATTGCTGAAAAATTAGCCACTGGGAGTGATTGTCTGCTTTAAATCAACACTTCCAATTTGCTTAGCCAAATGAGACTTGCATGGTATTGTGGGATTTGGCTCGTGCACCAAATTTTTAGGTACATAAACTTTATGAAAGCAATCGGAAGTGCATCTCCTTAATGTCTCTGCAGGGTTCCTTACCAGGAACTGAATATCTTCGAAGCATAGGATCAGGTACAAAATACCCGGCGGATCTTAATCTCTGTCAAGTAATTTGAGAAAAAGGAGTTGTATGGAGTCACCAGATCACAGCTAAGTTGTTAAAAAAAAACCTCACTGGTGTCCATAAAAAGAAACAGTCACTCAGTGGTGTTACATCCGTTGCCATGCTCTTTGTTGGCATTCCATGTTGAGCATTTTTCTTTGTTCTAGAAAGTGCCTTGGAGCCTTGAGTGACACTGGGAGATGGACTTGGCCAGCCTCCAGCAGCGAGCCTGACAGTTCTGCCCGACTCTCGCTCTTTGGAGAGGGAGGTGTGAGCCTGCTTGCTCTCACCGCGCTCTCATTTCCTTTTGCCAACAGAGTGTGCAGCACGAGAACACCTACAGGGATCCCATAGCCAAGTACTGCTATGGGGAGAGCCCACCCGAGCTCTTCCCCGCATGACGATGCCGCCCACTTGCTCTGCGTCGGAGGGGAGGCCCCGCCGCACAACTTGTCCTGGTGCGGACTTCAGCACTCGGGCCAGGCCACGGCAAGAACACGAAGGCGGCGTGAGGAAACCTTGGCTTCAGCCACGTCTTGTGTTGTAATCTTTGGCTTTGCTCACCGGCCGGGCCTACCAGATGGAACTCTTCTGGAAAGCAGCGTGGAGCCTGCAGCCCGTCCCGTTCGAGAAGATGAAGCCACAGGCCGAGCTCATGGTGGCGCAGTCTTGGCTGACTTGACTCTGGCGCCTGCACGGGGACCTGTGACTTGTGTTTGTTGGGAACCAGGTGTCACTTCCAGTTGTGATCCAGGTCCTTTCACTGTAAAAATTATTTATTGGATTCCTTTGGAGCAGTGGAAAATTGTAATGTTTTATGTAGGAAAACACCTTGCCTTTCACTTGAATATATTCAAGGAAATTATTTTTATTGTTGTTCCTGTGTTATGTCATCCCTTCACCCAGATAAAATGTTTTGTCTTTTAGAACATGGACATTCTCTCTAGGTAGTTATTTTTGTTTTTGTTTTAACATCTTCAAGAGTGTGTCCTGAACACAACCGTGAACCATATCTGACATCTCAAATTATCTGAAACATCTGGACATTCTAATCCAGTGCAGGAGTTCTGGCGGCTGGCACTCAGGGTCTTTCCTGGTGGCACTGGCACGTGCTGTGTACCCACGTGAGAGCACTGTTCAGCCAGAGCCTTGACCACTTGTCGTGGAGGAGCTGGGTCCACTCCCTTTGTCCCAGTGAAATGACTGGTCTTAGCCAGGGCACAGTGGGGCCTTTAGGTGAGCCCTAGGCAGTCCCCTCCCTGGTCCTGTCACTGGAAACCCAATGTCCAGGCCGGCCCTAAGCAGAGATGCATCTAGCAACTTTCTGTCTGGGGCCATTCTTTATCCCTCTCAGCTTCAGGGTGTGTAACAGGTACAAAGTTCCAATCCCCAGAATCTGCAAAGAAAAAGCTCAGCCTACCAAAGGTCATGAGAGAGCCTTGCATCTGCCCTCAATAGGAGGCGTGAGTGATGTTATACTTAGAGAATGCCTCGCACGGGATTGTGCTCCTGCTGGAACACTGACCCCCTGACTCAAGGCCTACCGTGTGTGGTCCTAGATCAAGACATCATGTCCCTTGAACAGCTCTGCTCTTAGATTTCAGGAATCACATTAACACACAACTGTCCCACACTCCTTCACTAGCCTTGGGATTGGGCCAGGGCTTTTCCCAGTTTTTGTTTCTTTTTTCTGTTCAGGTGTTGACCAGAGAGCAGGGTGCTAGTTCTGTGATCCACATCCAACATTTCTTTCTTGGTGGAGTTTCTCTTTGGCCCTTCTGATATATTTCTGCAGTGTGTGGTGGTAACTGTCTTTAACTTCCTCCTGCTACCTCTTAGGCTTATCTTCACAAAGTAATTTGCCTCTATAAATAAGTTTTCTTAGTAAACTGTCAGTTTTTAAATTGTTAGATTCCAAAAAACCTATTCTGTTTGCATTGGACTTTTCGGATTCTGTATGTATTCAGCAGCATTGAGTCAAACTCTGGAGTGAAAGGATTGTGGCATGTTTACATGTCTCATCAGTCTACTCTTTCTGGTAACTCAGTGGGGATTGGAGTGTCTGTCTTCCCTTGGCTGACATTGGTGTCAGCCTCTCCTCTGAGTTTGTTTTAACTCTTGAGCTTGAGCCATCTATAGAGATCTGATGTAATTTATATCAAAGGTGAGTCCATACCTAGTTACTGATCCTCTTGGACTTTGTACTTGAATAGCACATTTTGCATTTCTTTCTTTCTTTCTTTCTTTCTTTCTTTCTTTCTTTCTTTCTTTCTTTCTTTCTTTCTTTCTTTCTTTCTTTCTTTCTCTTTCCTTCCTTCCTTCCTTCCTTCCTTCCTTCCTTCCTTTCTTCCTTCCTTCTTTCTTTCTCTCACTCACTCCATCACCCAGGCTGGAGTACAGTGGCACAATCACAGTTCACTGCAGCGCTGACCTCCTGAGCGCTCAGGCAATCCTTCCGCCTCAACCTCCCCAATATCTGGGACTGCAGGCGCATGTCACCATGCCCAGCTAATTTTTTTTTTTTTTTTTTGTAGAAACAAGGTCTTACTATGTTGCCCAGGCTGGTCTTAAACTCCTGGCCTCAAGCAGTCCTCCCACCTCGGCTTCCCAAAGTGCTGGGATTACAGGCATGGGCCACCGTGCCCAGTCTGTATTTTACATTTCCAGTGCTTTCCCAAACAGTAACTACTTACAGAGAATTAAACTTGCTTGTATTTTCATCTTGGAGACAAGGAAATAGAGGTGAAGTGACTTCTCGAGTCCCAGTGAGATTTAGTGACAGAACCCAAACCAGAGCTTCATCTCTGGCTCTGGGTCTGGCCTTGTTGCCACCATCTCTTGCCAGTTCCAGACTGACTCATCGTAAGCATCTCCCTTGAGAGCATATATGTTTCATCCATCCAGGCCAAAGAAGGGGAGCAGTGACATAAATATCCAAATTAGACTGATGAGCCAGAGGTCGTTTTCGTTGAGCTGTGGACTATGTCAGACTTCAATCCGTCAGGGGTATGTCCACTAATTTGGAAATTCACAGCACTTCAGATAAAGAAGCCAACCATAGAGTGGCCAGCCTCCTGACCCAGGGTCCCTCCCTGCTGCCCACTGTCTAGTTTGTGGTTGTTTCTGTTTGTTTTTATTTCACCAGCCCACTTCAGACTTATACTCTCTGGTGTGTTTCTGGCTCCCTCCACCGAGTGTTTGTAGAATCAGGGACCTGCCTTGTCTTAGTTTTGTGTACCCAGAGCTTAGCAAAATGGGAAAAATTAGGAAAAGATCACAAAAGCGACCAAAACACCCTTCGTTTCCCTCAATTCTGAAACTTTCATTTGCCACACTCCTTGCTGGAGCTGTAAAGGTATGTCCCAACAAGGATGGAAGCACAGTGCGAAAAGGTCAATGACAGGCGTGGCCACAGGAGGGGGACTCACCTACTGTGAGCTCACCTTGAAGGGTGAGATGCACTGCTCTTGGGGAAGCAGAGACTGGGACTCCTGGGAGTGCCTCTGCCCATGTGGGTGGGTCCCAAGGGAGTGGCAGAGCCTGTCGAACAATTTTCGAGATTTTGAGCACAGCTTTTTCTTTCCATCCTTGGGGTTTGCAAATCAGTGGTAAAGGCGTGGAACTTGCTTTTCTGTTACGCTTTTCACAGGCAGGGTAGAATTCTACCTGGAAGTTAGAACTGCTACTTGCTCATGGCTTGGCTGTGGGCTGTCTTCCTCCTCAGCCTCAGGCCCTTCATCTGTAAAATGGGGAGACACCTGCCTCTCAGGCTTGCTGGGAGGCGTCACCGTGGGCGAGGGCCGGCTGCTTGCCAGGAAGTCAATGTTGGCAACTCAGTGGGGACCAGGGTTAGGGAGGGGGCTTGGGTG